GTATAATATTGAGTGATACACTTCAATAATCAAAAGATTTAATTCATAGCTCGAGCATAGAAGATTGGGATATTTCCACCCTTCGGAAAATTACATTAGATTACTTAGAGTGAATTTGGCAAATGGAAGGAAAACATCCGGAAAACTCAGTCAAGATGACTGAATAATATAGAAATAAAAGGCCAATATAGAGTGTTTAAAATGTGTTGAAAGTAATAAGACAATGGTAAATTATAATTGCGTCAGTAGTGAGACAAAGTTTAATGCTGTACATAAACGTACCGTAGCGAAAGCTCCGGGAACCAACACCCAGTCGAGACACTTTAATTTATCAGGGGGATCATATAGGAAACGCTTTCGCAAGTAAGCAACTTGAACGTTACAAAAGACAATTTATCCAAAACTATTAAGCGATGTTTAATAACCAGCGAACGATAATAATAACACAAAATTGGAATTTAGGAAGACCCGATATGTTACGTTATGAACGAGAGATTCCTTTTGTTTTGGTTCTCGCCGGTTTCCCATGATTATTAAGTTAGATATTACTTAGTACAGGAGAGTTTATGTTGTGTTTGTTCGTGTGTGTGAATTTAATACATTTACGTTATCCCGACTGCTGTTAATGTTTCGAAGTATAAACAGTTGGTGTGTCACAATGCCTTACATCTTTTAAATTTCGAATTAGCAACAATAATATTAGTAGTATGTCTAGTGTCATATAACTGAACTCCTTTGTTTAGGCCTCTAGGGTACATATGTCATTTCAGGCGTTGACGTTAATTAATTTTCACTTCCAGAAACGAATAACCAAAGCTTCACCCTTAATTCTTCTTACTCAAAATCGTCCTGAAAACTTCATTTTTATGCCTACCTTCTGTTAGGCAATTTTAGTTTTCATGACAGAGGCAGAGCAGATTACGTTTCCTGTTGCTTGTCACTTTACTAGTCGCATCTGTCACTTAAATGTCTATAATGAATCCTGTCATCACTGACACATTGACATTAATCAAAAGTTCTATACCAAAATTGAAATTTTATATTAAAATACTATTTCGGGTAAAATTTAATACAAAACTCGCCAGTAAAATGACATTACTTGACTCGGAATTTAGATACCTATACAGGGTGTTCATTTGAAAACTTCCATCCTCTGCCCTCCAGGGTCATTCCCTTAAAAATTTTAAATGGTATCGAGTAATAGTTGTTTGAAAAGTCTTTCCAAGTCGTTTATTTTGCCGTTTGATTTGATCTTAATTTGTTCAGATAGAACACAAAAACAAACTAAAATACCACTTATTTGTTGTTATGGGAAAGAAAGAATTTAATTTGCAGTTGCCTTGGTGACAATCTTGGGATAGTGAAAATTAATTTATTGATTCAGATTGTACTTCCAAAATTGTTTACACACTAGCCGAAAGAGTGGAAATTATTATAATTTTTTAGAAAACGAATCGACCGATTTTAAAAAATTAAACGTCCAAACAAAAGGTTTCGAAAGACCTTTCCAACAAGCTATTACCACTTGTCATTTAAAACTTTAAAGGGAATAACCCCCGGGGGGGGGCAGAGGGTGAAAGGGGGAGTCTAAACAGTTTTTGCCTTATTGTGGGGATTTAATTAAATTTGGTTGAATACGGAAGTAGCGACTTGTTAATAGTGAGTTTCAGTTAAGGAGTTTGAACCTGTTTAATTCTAAACCGTTGCCCCACTCTTAAACAATCAATTATAATTATCAATGTGAGGTAGGTTGAATTTTGTGCTTTTTCAAGGGATTTGACATGTATTTTTCTTTACAGGGTTCTTCAAGTTATAATTTGAACTCCACATTCCAGCCCTCCTAAGAAGTTTAAAGTCACGCCTTCTGTAAGAAAAACAACTGCGATCATTTCTTGGATGAAATGTTTCACAACTGGAAGAAACGGAAGATACGTATAGATTGCGACTTAACAACAAGCAGTGGGTAATAAAAGTTCGGATAGAAGAACTAATGGATGAAAGGTAAGAGGAGAGAAATTGGGCCACGTGTTAAGGGATAATGGAATGTTGAGAGACGTATTGGAGGGATCGGTAGAGACGGAAGGTGGAAGAGAACCACGGAAGAAGAAAAAAGAAATGGATTGATGATTTGAAGAAGGGAACAGGCTATGTGAGGATGCAGAGAGAGAGAGAGAGAGAGAGGCAATGGATGGGGAGTTCTGGAGGAGAGATTTCATCTAAGAACCTGCCAACTGGCAGCCAACTAAAGAAAAGGAATTGCTTATCTTCATAAAGCTAATAATTATGCTGGTTTCAATTAGGTATGCAATGAGGAACGAGAAAAGTGCCATGCTTTTACAGTTGACGCAGTGGATTTGGCTGGACCACTTTACATAAATAAAAATTGATTGCGTCGATTGCCCTTTTTACTTGTAGTGTATACTGTGCTATCAATTTGCCGAGAGAGAGACTTATGGCATTTGCTAAGTTTTATAGTCTGACAGAGGCTCAAGCTTCTGGTGAGCTGCGTCTACTGCATTGAATAAACTTTAATGGAAACGCATGCAGAAGAGTGTTCTATACAGAAAATTAATTAATTCCGGCTACCGCCCCTTTGTGGGCAATGTGGTGGGAGCCCGTAGTTAGTAAGGAGTACCTTAAAAACACGTTAGGAAATTTTCATCCACGTGACATCGTGTAACATTTTTAAATGTTCGATTTTTATGAAACAAAAATTAAAAGGAACTGCCTGATCGGACTTTTTTAGATGAGACATTTAATTTTACAATCGGTTGGCTTACGTGAGTACATATCAGAAAGTCTATTTATAAGGATGTATCCTTTGGAACTGCTTTAAGGGGGGTTTTTACCAGTGATGACACTGAGAATTTCTAACTGCAACACGGAGATGAAATTTCTGAAATTATAAGGTAATTAGTGTTGCATTACTTTCAGGCACTTGTCAATTAGGGTAAACAGCAATAGAATTAACTACAACCATTTTTACACAGCAACTTATCCAGTATATTTAATTAAAAACCTCCCGAAAAGTCCTCAACTTGGTATGTATTTAACTTCAGAAATAAATATCACTAACTGCGTCGAGCAGTAATAGAAACTTTTCCAATTAAATACGTATTTAAGCGTTCGAACGATCTGATTGAAAACTGACCTCTTTGTATGCAAGACGATTCCAAGGTTACTTTACTTCTTAGATTTTCGCTTGTGCGTGCGAAGAATTGACACCGATTTCTCGACGAAATGAGAACTAGATTTTTGGGAGATAAAGGAGAATCGGCTTAGAAAAATGTAAAATAAAAATTTAAAGTGAGTTTTAATGACCGTATTTTTACTACGGTGCACGTTCTCCAGTGACTTATAATTTGCATTATACAAGATTTAACTTTATCGGCTCTTGTCACCGTGAAAGACTTTCTATTTTATCACAATGTAACTAACTTAGTGTATTTATGCAAAAATTTTTTTAATTTTTCATCGATTGTTCATTCAAACTTCCTGGCGTCTTCGGATTTTATAAGATTTATCGACGGAAACGTCGCTTTCCATTAACATTTTTATTCCATGTGCGTAATGGCTTAAGGAGTTGTTTTCCAAGAATAATTTTTTAGTAATACTAAATAATGACAATAAAAACCGTCGGCGAAAGATTTGATGTCTGTTCCGACCTTTTAATTTCGACCTCGCGATTTTTCCCTAAAAACTTTCTTTTTATATGCGTCGCGTACATAAGTTTATTTTTCGTGTGTTGAAATTCAATGCGAAATGGAAGTTTGTGTTTGCCGGAGCTCTGCGTGCCTAATCCATGGATAAGCTTGAAAATTTCTTTGCTTTTCCCGAGCTTACCAATGTCAACCGAAGCTACACAAAGAAAGGGTGGGTTTGAAAGAAATGATCCAAATAAACTCTTCTTTTCTAAAAGCTGTTACCACTTCGCATCCCACATACAACATTATAAAATAGATCTACGTTACGAAGGGTTTTTAATAAAAGGTGCCAAACCCCAAAGAGCCGTATTTGTGCAGTTTGTTTCAATAACGAATGTCGATTCGCTAGTTGTTATAATCGCGTGATTCATTTCACGAAAGATTGTAATTGGAAAAGAAGACCTTATGTGATTAGAAAACAAATTGCGTCTGGAACGAGATACGTCTCTTAAGCACGCCACAAGAGGTGGATAATCTTCGAAAATCATAAATAGAGAAAAAAATTTATTTCGTCTCATACTTTGCTTTTGATATAGCAAGTTATTGCGTTCAGCTTAGGCCCTCAAGCTAGGTTTTACGCGGAAACCTTTTTGATGTCAACTTGGTAATGTTATTGCTATCTCCTTGAGTGATGGTGGAAAGCAAAAGTGTAAAACTGATCCACGCAATAATGCACTGTGTGAGAATTACGCCACCGGCTTCCTGCAATAACGTCGGAAACGAAAAACCGACAATTTTATGGACGATCCAATCTATAAGATGATTCATTCGAAGTCCTCCCCCACCGTAAATGGCTATATCAAGGGTGACAGATACATGGCGTAGGTTCGAATTCGCTTCGGGACAACCCTATTCCAATCGCCGCCCTAGTGTGAAATATGTAATTTGCGGATTACTCGAGTTTATACCAAAAATTAAGAACACTCTTGGATGTATCGATTTTATTTTCATTGCGTGTGTGGATGCGAGATTGTGATTATATTCGTGCTTGAATAAAGAGTAACATTCACGCAAAATGTGCAGCTAAATGAAAAAGAAGATATTTAGGATGCATGTGAAGAGAAAAAATCAGCCTCAAAATATAGGTATGGACGGAATGGATTCAGAGTATTCACTTTGCGATTCAAATCGCATTTTCAACGGTGAATCACCCTTGCAAATGTGAGTCCGTTGAATCAGTCTTTTCGGCTGTAGCCAAGTATCTTCATACATCATATCGAGTTAACCAGCAGTCAACAATTTCAAATCATGGGCTATGCATTACGAAATCGCAGCACAGCCTAAAAACGCCAAAGGTGAAGAAGCATGGCATATAATGTCCAAACAAGAACAGTAACTTAAAGTCATATTCTCAAAATGAGTGAGATTTCATCGTCATTTCTTGAGGGGCGCTGCAAGACAACGAAAATTTTCTGATTTTACACTAAAAATAAATGCCGAATCCTGATGGTCGGATTTTTAACAACCACGTAGTGGGTCCCGGATTTTAAGTTTTATTCCTTGCATGAAGTTCATCAATATCCAACAAAATTATATTGCAGTTTTATCTTGTAAAATTCCAACGAAAACATTTTCTTATTTCACTCTGCTTCTAGGGACAACTGACCAACGGGCAGCACAGCGGGTATGGTTTAGTTAAATCTTCAGGTTGCACGACGCATGGTGGTGCGGCTGCCACTGCTTCGCATCTAGTAAACACATTACTATCTAGAATAATAAAAGGAATCTTATTACCCGACTAGTGTGATCAATTGATGACTACACGCTGCGCAAGCACAGCGCGTAGGAAGCAATGGTTTGGTCTCTCCAACCCTCAGTTTTCCCGCTGGTTCATAAACGCATACGTTTGGTTGATCTGCAGACAAAGAAAATGGCATAAAGGTCTACATGCCTCAATTACCTGGATCCATGTCAACTGGTATAGTCTCGGTCCATCCATGAGCGAAACAGATCGTACCAGAAATAAATAATAATACCAGTAATGATTTCATCCTTTTCATTGAACCTCAGTGCTTTAAAATGATGCTAATACTGAACATCAGTAACGCGATTTTAAGTATGACCAAATAAGCTGATAGATTTTCGGGGTTATCATAATTGATATATAAATAACTTCAGATAACTATCGCTTGACGGGGTTTTACAGATCTTTTTTTCCTGAAATTCAGTTAGAAAATACGTTCGATCTATCCAAAAGGCTGGTGAAAATATTATCATAGGATGTTGTCTCCAACCCATTGATTAGGTATACACTTGCCTTTCAACCTGGAGGTAAATTGTTTAAGTGTTATATGTGGTTAATGATTGATTTTTAAATCGTATAAGAAACAGGGGCTAATAAAATCGATAGCACAAACGATCCTATCGAAACTAAAGTCTCCTCTATGAACACAAACACAGTGCCTCTATCGTAAAGTTGAACGTCATAATTGTGAACAATAATGTCTTAAATTCTTTCTGATAAAATTGTTTTTATTTAAAGCTTCCAGCTCACGAGAAACACAACAACAAAATTCGTTTGATATACGCAATGTACGCGTACTTTCCGATAAAGCATGATAATATCGTACTTAGAAAATAACATGCTACTTTAGGCCTTGTTTTTCTTAGTAACATATTTTATAGATTAGTTACAGTTGAACAGGCACCTTAAATAATGGAGTTGCTTCCTTTGTTTTTATTTACGAATGATTGAATATCGGAAGGACAAAGAGAAGGGTTCCTTTTTTCGATTGATGATTACTTTTCAATACTTACGGCTCTTAACTGAGTATTTTTGATAAATGAAACAAATAAATGAATTCACCATCTCTTCCTCCCAATGAAATACTCTGCTCCACGATATACGCGTATTTTAGTCTCTTCCCATGCGTTAAATTAACTTTATTACTTACATTTATTTATCCATTGGTAAGTAATAAACCAAAATAATTAATAATCATTTATTCATTTATATAACCCGCTTACCAACAATTTTCAAATTTAGATCAACACTGCAACATAACGGATATAAATAATAAAGCACGGCCACCTCCTTAGACTGCCTCCAGAGGCTAAATCACGGGTTCATGACGTTCTTTCGCAAGGAGGAGCCTCGCATTTGGTGTCGATGAGGCATCCGAATAGGCCTTCAACTTGCCGTATAGCAGACATGCGTGTGCCTTATACAAGAACGATGGAGCCATGGAACCATGGAGGACCTTCGGTGGTAACATGGAGGGTTTTCCTGAAGTTGAAAAAGTTCGTAAGATCCTTTTGAAATATCCGGGCAAAAAAGTGGGGATCTCTGAGATGGACGATCAACACGTTCAGCCCATTTGCAGAACCGAACTTAGTCATCGTCACGGATGAATCTAAACCAATGGAAGGAACAGGCATTGGTATTCACTCTAAAGAACTGATCTTTCATATCACGTAACCACTAGGCAAACTTCCTACTGCATTCCAATCAGAGTTGGTAGAACTAATCCTCAGTGCAAGGAAAGTTCTTATGCAGGATATAAAGAACAAAACTATCAAAATCTGTAGTGAGAGCAAGGTGCAGGTGCCCTCCGGGCACTTGATCACTGCAAAATCAAAATTACGCATGAGTCAAAGAGCATGCTTGAACGGAATGTAATAAGAAAGTCGATGAGTTAGCCCAACAGGACCCAAACAGGAGTTTTATGGTCCCGAGCCGGCTCTTGCACTTACAGTTGCAACTGTAAACAACTTAATAACCCCAGACACCCAAACCCAGCACAGGGCTAGGTGGTACATGATCTTAGATTGGCACCATGCGAGAGATGCCAGCTCGTAGCTTGGTGCGTTTTTGCACAGGGCTATCAAGAAGAAAACCTGAGTTTACTGGTGGGCATACTTTCTGGGTACTGCAAACTAAACAAATACATGCGCCGCATGGGTTTGGTAGAAACACCATCTTGTAGAGGACGTCACACAGACGATGAGACGGCACACCATATACTTTGTGAATGTTTCGCTCTAGTCCAACTGAGACGATTCATGTTGGGGGTATCCTGGCCGGATACTCCTTTTCCAGCATCCATAGGGGTGGTGTGCTCGAGTGACATTAAGGGGAGGAACGACTGTAGTCAGGGAAGTAGTACAAGGGCCCGAATTTAAGGCCTGTATACTTAAGGTGGCGTTTACAGAAAGTGCAAAAGTTGCCAAGCGATTTCCTCAATTACTTTGTTTCAAGGTAAGTAAACAAATTATCTCCAAAATATTACAATTAAGACACTGTAATTAAAGTAGATGGCGTAAGAATATAAATAAGAGCACAAATCGAAGGCATGTATGTTCTTTCGCCTTGGTTCCTTTCTGAACCGTATCCATTTTCTCCACTCAATCTTTCTAATTTCTTCTTTTTCTCGTCATAATTAAGGCTCCCCGGGTTGGGTTTTCACTTGTCCGCCATTTATTGTATTTTTTATTTACAAAAATATAGTATTGTTCGCGTTTGGTTCGTCCGTCCGTCCAACCGTCAGGACTCACTTGAGGCCGTTTTGTGGTACTTTAGAAAAATCGTCTTAGAATCCCGAATTTTTTGGTAATGGTAGCCTATACCTCGAAGATGTTGGCGTATTTAAACAGTTCTACTCTTCATAGTACTCTAATGAAAAATCTCAAGTCAAGGAATTGGTGTCATCGCTCGTTCCCTCTAGCATCCCTCTGGTAAGCTCTGTAATAACTCCACATATATCTAGAAACCGGAGTGTACTCGTAAGGGCAAAGAGAAAGATGCGACTGCATGGATGGTGAAGTCAAAACTGTAGAGTCGGTACAAGAAACAGGAAGTGGAAGGTATCGACGAGACCAATCTGCAAGGGGGAATCCTAACCCCGAGGCACAGGTAAACAGCTTGGTAAATAAGTACATACCTACAAAAATAAGCTTACGGTTTTAGTAGACTATAATAGTACCCACCGTTCCTATATCTCTATGGCAAAAATTACTTACCTACCCCTTTATTGTAAATGGTAACGGTGGTCACCACAATTCTTATCGATTTGCTCCCCTAAGCCTACGCCAAGGAATTCCTTGTCATTTCTATTATGTTATTCCCCCAAGAGCGGTAAATCAATTAATTAATTTAATCTAAATTGCCAGATCAGCTTTGATACCTACCTGAAACAGATTTTCAACAAACCATCCAATAAATTTGTGCAATGTTTTATTTAACAGCGCTATCACTGAATCCCGAACATTTCACACTAAAGCAAAGTCTAATAATTGTTTATCGCACAAAAAAGCCAATAAAACGATTAGCACGGATGAAGGCATTAAAGTATTTGTCAATCAATCAAAGTGATAAATGGATACCGCAGCATATTTGCTCGCGCCTTATATATTCGCACTGCTAAAATTTAAATGGGTAAAAGTACCTCTTTTTACGCAATTAACCGTGACCACACTACCGGTTAGAGCCGTACGTGTGCGTTATCTGATCGGTAAAAGAATTTGTGGAAATTTTTTTCGTATGGACGAGCCGAGAACAGTGGCTAAATGTTTAACGTAGTAAAAAATTCAAGTTATTGAAAGAAAGAATCAATAAACCTGTCAAAAATTCAGTAGATATCAGTATTTTTTCCCTTGAAAGAAACCGCATATTTCCCAAACCGTATCATGTTCACGGTCTGCAAGCGTTGTGAAAATGATATAGGAATCTGAAGGCAATGTAAAAGATTTATTCTACTTCGGACTTGTTTAGCAAAAATGATACAAATACCTATCGGTCAGGAACAACAGGATAAATGCTATAACTGAACGTGAGTGGTTGTTAATATTTAAAGATTATCCCTTAAAACCCGGCTCACACAATAAATAAATACAAGAAATATTTCTGGAAAAACTTTTAATGTCTATCTTTCGGTCTGTTGATTTTGTTTTAGATGCTTTTTGAGGGCATCAGCAAGATAAACACTAGCAGCTTAATTGATACTACTGTATGCTTCAAAGCCAACCCATCTTTATCGAGAAAAACAACACTTAATATAATTTCCGGATAATCTAAATTGAAAATACATAGAATTGTTATCCTGCCTACTTACAGCTTACCGGTTGTAAAAACACAGCTTTTATTATCTCGTTTGATGAGTGTGGACGCGTTCCCAATAAAACTTTAAGGAGAAAACCATTGTCGTAAAAAAACTATAAATATCTCCTTGTAGCTTGTATTTTTAGCTTTACAGATAATTAAATAGTAACGATTTCGCTTCATTCGCTCATAGTAAAGAAACGCACTTTCCTTATTTTGTAACATGCTAACGTTTAGAAATATCTGAAATAAACTAATTTTAGCTGCCATAAAAATGAAAACTTCCATTCACTTCCAGTCAGAATCAATTTAGGACTAAGCTATCATGCCTTGGGGCATTAGAGAACCTTGTTAAAAGTCGGTAGAATCGATAGGGGATGGTAGAAAAACCTGAGTTAATTTTATAAAGGGATTCGGTTTACATAGTTTTTGTAGGAAATGTGTTTTAAAGCGGCCTGTTTGTTTCGGGCGTTTACAAATGGCCTGTATTATTAACCTTCTGCGATGAGTTACACAAATTGCCGTACAATCGGAAAGGTCGTAGAAACAAAACAAGGCGATGAATTATTGTATTACTGCCACAAAGAGAATGGGTACGATGATTTTTACCCATCTCGACATAGTGAAATGGAAATTTTCTTTTCCAATTTTGCAATAAAATTACAAAAGTTTTTCTTAATAATCTTTCCAACTTTTTGAGAAACTTTACTATACTCTACAACCGAATTTTAATCGAGCGCGTACGAATGCTTTTCGATTTAGTTTGCGGAAAGATATTTGTGGATTACCTAGAAATATATAGATAAGATCAATCATTGTGGTATTTTCGCGTTTACCTTGAATTCGTACACCTTCTCGTTGAAATATGACGGCATTCGTATTAGAGACTTACACTTACGTGCATATCTCATCCTTTACTTTTGCCAACTTGAACAATGTAATCGGTATTCTGACTCATGTAGTAAGTAATCGTAGTTTTTTAGAGATAATGGGGTCATCCCGCCTTCATTTTTTATTTCTGATCCACAAAGT